CCATATGTGGTCCACCACATCGATAGCAAGAGCCTTTAAATGCCCTCACACGTTGACTGTGGTTTCCCATTTCGTTTGCCATGGCTCCGCCAGCCGCCGCAACATGGACCATTCCAGTCTTGCTTGCTGTAAGGATTCTAGCTCTTGCTATTACCTCTGACAGTTCAACTTGGAAGACCCGGCTCGTCTGTTGGAGCTCACACGATATCGGGTCAGGGAATCCATTTACAAAGGTTAACCTGACCAGCCTATCCAGTTCGCTGCCTGAAAATCCAGCCAACCCTCCCGATCTCCTTAGTTCGTTCGCGAATACATCAACATGCTCACCAGATCATTAGAAACTTACCCTCAGAAACACTTACACTCCTACTAAACATATACAACGACATGTGGCTGTCGCACTCCTTTCCGGAGTCTTGGCATCTCGCCACTGTCATTCCAATACCCAAACCAAACAAAGACCACACACACCCATCCAATTACAGACCAATAGCACTAACGAGCTGTCTCTGCTAACTCAATGAAAAAATGATCCACAGGCGACTCATGTGGTTTCTGGAGATGACGGGCTCGCTGAGCGGTCTCCAGTGCGGATTCAGGAAAACTCGATCCACTCTGGATCACCTGGTCCGCCTGGAGACCTTTATATGCGAGACGTTCGCTGAAGGAGGCCACATGATCGCCATCTTTTTTTACCTAGAAAAAGCCTTCGACACAACCTGAAAGTACGGCATTCTTCGAGACCTGCACGCACTCGGCATGCGGTCACCTCCTTGCCTTCTTTGGCAACTTCCTGAAGAACCGTTCCTTTCAGGTTTGTGTCGGATCCTCCCTTTCAGACCCCCACCAATAGGAGGAGGGGGAGCATCCTTTCTCCTCTCCTCTTCGAAATTAAAATAAATTCCTTAGTAAAAACCCTCCAAAACAGCATAGACAGCTCGTTATACATTGACGACTTTTTGATATGCTGCCGTTCAAAAAATCCTCTTTTGAGGTCTATGGAAAGGCAGCTGCAAATGCAGCTGCACGAACTCGAAAAGTGGGCAAACAATAAAGGTTTCAAGTTCTCCCCGTCAAAGACGGTTGCAGTACACTTCTGCCAAACAGGCAGACGTGTGCTGCAGCCGGATTTGACACTATACGCGGAAAGGATTCCCGTCCAGGACCAAGCTCGTTTCCTCTGCGTCATTTTCGACAAAAAACTCACATTCATTCCACACATCAAAGACCTTCGTGTGAGGTGCCAGAAAGCGCTAAACGCTTTGAAAATTCTATCGAATCCGGAGTGGGACGGGGACTCTAAACACCTTCTCCACTTGTACTTCTCCCTTGTCTGGTCCAGGCTTGACTGCGGCTGTCAAGTCTACGGATCGGCAAAACCACACATCTTAAAAATGCTAGACCCAATACAAAACCAAGGACTCCACCTCGCTCTGGGGGCTTTCCGCACTTCTCCGGTGGAGAGCCTCCAGGCCGAGGCCAACATACCACCACTCTCACTCGGGCGCACACAGCTCTCACTACAATACGCAATTAAACAGAGCTCAACACCGGAAAATCCAGCACACAGCTGCATTTTTAAAACAATACAAACCCTGAAACCATGAACAGATTCCAAAACAACGAAAAACTCATCAAACCCTTCGGCCTCAGAATCCTTGAGGACCTCAAAACTTACACTTTTCCAAACAAGACATCCAACAATTTCTTTTCCCCGACCTCCCTCCATGGCACCTCACCAAGGCAAAAGTAGACTTACTGCAGCTGACCTCACATAACAGAGAAAGCACAAACACCAAAACTTTTAAAGCAGAATTTTAAAAAATAATAGATAAATACCCCGGTGCAGAGCTCATCTTCACGGATGGCTCCAAAAAAGACAATGAAGTGGGCGCCGCAGCCCTATCTTCCAACAGTACACACCAGAGGAGACTCCACCCTGAAGCCTCCATTTTCTCTGCGGAGGCCACTGCCATTGACATGGCACTGGACTCCGTAGAAAACTCTCCTAACAAATCTTTCCATATCCTTTCTGACTCTCTGTCTTGCATCACCTCACTCACAAACTACACACTTCTACATCCAAAAATAGTTAGGCTACAACAGAAAATTCATACACTATCCGAAACAGGAAAAAACTTGTTCGCATGGATACCTAGCCATGTGGGCATCCGAGGAAACGAGCAGGTAGATGACCTGGCGAAGAAAGCCTCATCCCTTCTGCTGGAATCAACGACAAACACTCTCCCTCATACTGACTTTAGAAATAAAGTCAAAAAGTACACCTCCAGTCTGTGGGAGAGCCACTGGGAAAAACAGAAAAACAATAAACTATATGTTATAAAACCCAAACTAGAACAGCGAAATCCTTCGGACCTCTCCAGAAGAGATGAAGTCATTTTTACTCGATTGCGCATGGGACACACGGCCCCGACCCACAAATACCTCCTACAGGGAGATGAGAGGCCGTTCTGTGTCGCTGTCGGATGCGACACAGATTTTACCATTAGACATATCTTAACCGAATATCTAGACTTTGGAGAGGTGCGAAGGAAATATTAAAAATACAAGAAATTGCAAGACATTTTTTCCGTCGCTGGTCCTAGCAAAATTTTGAATGTTATGAAGGCCATTGGCCTTTATGGCAAATTGTAAAGTAAAATTGTACTATTTAAAGTTTTTATCTTAACTAGAAAAATTGTTTTAGACTGAAAATATATGTATATTTATTTACACTGATTTTTAAACATTTTAAGATTTAACTACTGACCCGAGCCAGCCGTACAGCGAACTGTTGTGAACAAGACCAACTTGTGTTTCACGCGCTCATATGACCGTATGCAGTTGCGAACGCCGTAAAACCCTATACTACAACAAAAACATGCTCACCTGTCCACCTCCTCTGTGTCGACTTACTGAACGCAACAAATGAGCTGTCTGTGAATGCCTCTAGAAGATGCTTCTTAATTGTCTGATATTGTAATCTTTCGAAATCACTAAGCTGTAAGTACAATGCCAATGCATTACCCTCCAGGAACAGCGGTACAAATTTCACAGTCTACTTCTTTAGATGTCTGCACATGTTCATTTCATGCACAGTTACTGCACCTAAAGCAGATCAAGCCCACTCGTTAAACTGAACTCGGCACCCTCTTGGCACCTCATGGATCTAGTTATGAAGTTATTCGATACTGAAACATCTAGAAAGAAAAAGCAACTATCATTCATGGATGCATCAGCCTTATCACAACTTGTAATTCATGTACCAGCCCTCAAAGGTGCATTACTTGTAGGTTGGTCAACATTATCGGAAATAGGTATACTAGTTGACCTCACTTCTTTCTGTGATCTTTCCCTGAAATTTACGCTTTCCACCCTTCCTAACTCTTTTTTTTTATCCCCCATAATGTGGAAAAATGGAATAGTAGTAACAGAAAATCTCTAGAATCTGAATGGCTGAAAAGTGCTCAAAACGAATCACAACAATTAGAAGTAACCAATTTATAAAATGGTTTTAGGGACTGAGGGACTGCAATTTCCAGAGTTGCTGCAGCTGGTACTCACTTTTTTCTTTTCCTAACCCTATTTTACTATCGTGTCCATACGACGTGGGGAACTCTGTGCCAGCACTTTCCAGAGGAAATTTACTCGTTAATTCTGTTGGGTACGCTTCGCATAGCAGTCTGTCAAAATGATTTTTTGAGAAATACTGAAAGTTTCAAAGAGATCTTCGCACTAGAGGTATTTTAAACTGAAAAATACAACCTTGGGGGTACAAAATGACCCCAGGGCGTAGGGATAGGGTTATGAGTTCTGGTTTTATTATAATAGTGTATTTTAGCTGTATGTTTTGCTTTAGAAGGAGAAAATTGGCTGTAACCAGGGGTAAACAAATGGTTGTCAGGGAGAAGGAGGTGGAACCCAAGGTTCAAAATCCTTTAATATATAATGAAAATTAGCAAGCATTTTATTATTCTCTGACTTCCATGTTGTCTAGAAATGGTTAGAGAATACATAGGGCATGAGATAAAAAATTCATTGGATTTTCAATGTTTTAAATGGTACCATAGGATCCTGCTGCCTTAAGGGAACTGGGATAGTAAGCGATGGGATATTAGGCGGAGACTACTGTATATCATTATTATTCTACTGGTTTTTCCCATCACCCGCCTGCTAAAGTTACCCTGTTTGCCTTGCTTCTATTCTATAGGCTACTTAGGCTACTTTCTTTGTTTTAAACTTTAAATTTAATGGAGAAACACTTTTAACTAAAATGTCAGATTGTTAAATTGTTATTGTTCTTAATGGTATTGATTTTAATTATCGTGGTATACATTTCAATAATCATGTACATGCATACATTCTCCTGCAGACACTATTCAAATAAAGTAAACAACATTAGTTCAAGTTTCGTGTTGTTGTTTTTTGCTCTGCTCAAAGAAGACAGAATAGTGTTATTAATTATTACTCATGTGTACAGTATAAACATGTAGCTAGTTATAAAAGTTATTATAATGTTCTGGTAATGTCAGTGCCATCAAAATTTGAGTGTGATCATGGTGTTACTGGTGTTATTTCCAAGTCATTTGTACTGATCAAGATATTTCTTAGTGTGTTTCGTTTTGGCTGACCTACGAATTAATTTTCTGCATGTCTTTTCTGGTAAGTTTGTGTACTGCACATAAAATACTGCCTGATTTGTCTAATTATCTTTCTTTTGTTTGGTATTCACCAATTTTTTTTTTAAAGTTGCATTATTGATTAATTTGTTTCAATAGCTTGTTGCTTTGTACTCATTTTCTATCATTGGTAGAGAAAAAGGATTGTTAAAAAATAGAGTAGAAAATGTTTCCAGTGGCTCTTGTGCTGACTGCTTTATACGGTTAGTGATGTATTTCATGAATCATGTTGCAGCATGTCATGACCATGTTTTGTTTTGCCTTTTTCATAATAATTATGTTATTTTTTTTCTCTTTGTTTTCTCCAATACCCAAAAACAGATTTCGGTTTAGAACGTTCAAGGGTGTCTTCACTGGTGCTGCATTATGTGATTGGCTGATACGGATTGGTTTAGCGGATGACCGTGATAGTGCTATTGCATATGGGCGACGCCTGATACTGGGCCGTGTGATCACACACATCAACAGTGAACAGCAGTTCCATGACGCGCCTTACTTTTACAAGTTTTTGGACACATTTGAGTATATGACTTGCTAACAGGGTTTTTTGTTGTTTTATTTTGTTTTTAAAGAAAATGGTATGTTTTGCCACTAATGGTTAGGGGAATCAATGTTGCAGGTCCTGATGAGGAGCATGGCTGAGTCTTTGCTTTTTATCAAAATTGTAAAAGGAAATCCTCTCAGCAACTTTTTTCATTTTCCTAAATTATGTTTTTCTGAGCCCCAGTCTTATTTTTTCTTGACACTGCGATCACAAACATCGATATTGATATATATTATATATATTTATATGTGAGGCATCGTGGTGAAATCAGGCACTCGTCAAAATAATTAAATCGAAGAAAATGGCATTTTTCTGTCCGTTTGGCAATTTTTTATCGAATTATTGCTTTTTTTGCTCTTTTGCTCAACACCCTTCATGCCCATCAAAGAACACATTTCTAAGTGGATTTTACTGAAAAACATTGATGAAAGGCGTAAATGATGTAAATTTTTAGTTCCCACATACTCTCAAGCAAAGGAAGCAACTCAACTTTGGTGGCCATTTTCTGGCTTATTTCTCCCCTGAAACCAGGAGACCCCCACCTCTTCCATTCGCCAATATCTTGACTTGTACCAAAGATAAACAGATATTTTTCCGTCAAAAGCAAGACAAATGGACATGCTTTAAGATGATACTTATAACTCCATATGCCCCCAAATTGATGAGTGCCTGATTCCACCGCGCTGTGACATATATATACCTCTGTTTTGCTTTATAGGCAGAATCAGAACTCTTTGCTGTCAGATTCCAATAAAAAGTAAAGTGAATTTTTGTAACTAATCATTTATTTCAATTTCATGCATCACTTCATGTAGCCCTAACCCATTTTGTGTTGTTGCTTAAGAGCAGTATATCCAGTAAAACTTTGTTTATCTTGTTGGGGTTTTTTTTGTTTCAACCTGCTGATGAAAATTAAATGACTGCTAGTTTCATGAAGTCTGTCTCAGCAAATTCTTGCAAACTTTGCCAATTATTTCTTTGATGCCACAAGGTACAATTTACATGGGAGTGGATTTGTGTGATGGAACAGCTTGTGATTTTAAGGATACAGATTTGCATTTTTTTATATGAATAGGTGTGGTCTTGTGTATTCTTTCTTCAGATTAGCTTGTATCATCACTGTGCAAAGTTAACATTTAATTTTTATTGTGGATACCCTTGTTTAAAATGATTTGCTCATAGGGTAGAGTTGGGTAACTTTGCCTCTTTGGGTTTGGTGTCTAGATATTGCTGATTAATCTGTTGTGTGCTGTCATACGTTCACAGGCAAGCTTGGGGGGAAGTCTTTCATGACCAGCCAGAAATCATTTTTGTGCAAGGAATGGCGCAATTTTTTAGTTGAATGGTTTGATTGTTTTTGGGTTCTGCTTGCAAGCATGGAAATTCACCACGCTGACGTGAAAATCAACACTTTTTTTGTTTTTGTTTAGTGGGTTTTTTTAATTGGTTTTGTGTTCTTCTTATTTTTTACAACTTCAGCTTTTAATTTTGATATATATATATATATATATAGAATAGGCCATTCTAAAGACTTTATTACGACTTCAACAATTGATTTTTTTTTAAAGGAACAGGCCACAAAAATAACGCACTCAAAAGAATTTCGTAAAACATTTAAATTGTATTTTTGGTCGCATTCTTCCTCTCTCTCCCTAACTGTCTTTCCTGATTTTCTTTTTCCTGCCTTCTCCTGTTCCACAACAGTCCTTTATTCGTCAAGAGTCTCCTTGCACGTAACGAGCCAGTGTTTGTGATTGCCCTTGATTTCCTGGTACTTGGGGCAAGAGGCGAAAGGCCTCTGTGGTGAAATCAAGTGCTTGTCAATTTTTGGGTATATTTTGAGTTGCTGGTATCATCTAAAAGCTTGTTCATTTATCTATCTTTTGATTTAAAAAATACCCATAAACATCTGGAACAGAAGTTGACATATTTTTAATTGAAGGAGGCAAGGGTCACCTGGTTTCAGATGTAAAATTAGCAAGAAAATGGCCGCCAAAGTTTGGTCACACACACACACACACAACTTTAAAATGTACTTGCCCTATCATCATGTTAAAGCCTTGCACTGCCCAGTCTTGCAGTATATTAAAGCTAAACAAATTCTTCCAACCCGGAGCCGGTCACCTCGATCTAGCACTAGGTAGCGTAAACACGGCCTCGTGGCCTTCCGAGCGACATGAAGCTATTAAGAGCACCTAGCACACCTCTGTGATTGGCCCAAAATAGATCTTAGATGATGTTTTCCCACCATATATTTTTGATGTCTTCCGAGGTTTCCCTCACGAGTTGACTAGATCCCCTAGATCTATCACCCTTCATTACATTTATTTGATTATTATCATTCATCGGAATGCAGGTGACAAAGTAACTAACAATAGAAATGCAGCGTCGTGATGTTATCAAAGATTGTCTAACTACTACCAAGATGTTTCAATTGCCCTATCTCGCGTCCGAACGAGACTTGGGCACTAGATCTACCTCATCTTAGCGCGTGACGGCCCGTGATACGAGTGTAAACAAACGTTCCAGCACTGAGTTGAAAGAGAGAGATTTTTTTGTCTGCGGGCAGAGAGAGAAAGAGAGGGGGGGGGGGAGAGAAAGAAAGATAATGAGAACGAGAAAGAGAGAGGGAAAGAGAGAGGGGGGGGGTTGTTATTAGAATTACTGATTCCTGCCGTCTTCTCTCCTCGTCGGTTGACAAACGGACCCGGTGCAATACAGTCATTATTGCACACATTAATGCCAGTCCCATGTATTATAATAGATCTAATCATTGCAGTCAGAGTCAAACTTTCTAGTAAGAAATGTGACCAGTAACAATCTGACAGACTATTAGATCTATATTAGCCTTTCCTAAGAGTGTGTCTTTCTGAGGTACTGTTCTCTTTGTAGATGTATTCAGGGAGAAAGAATGGAAGTCCAATCATATTTGGTGTCAATAGATCCAGTGAATGCCACTGTGACTGAGTGACTGAATCTTGCGCGATTGATGACGCGATTTAACGGAGCATGCACAGAAATCCCTACGGGTCAGAACTCGGAACATCCGCGGAAATCCCCATTAATTATATGCAATGTAGTAATAATAATAATAATCATTATAATTGCATTTATATAGGCAGTTCAGTGAAAAATTCAAAGTTGTTAGATTTTGATGAAAATAGGCTCAAAGGAAAGGTCCTGCCACACTGACCACAGTGCTTTTTTAATTTTGTCAATATCTGTATTGGTTGAGAAGTTATGGGATTTTTTCTACTTTATTTTTCGCTCAAATGTGGTCCTTTTTTTGCACTGCATTTTGTGACTAAAGGAGGACAAAAATTGACAAAAATATACATAACTTCGCAACCTGTAAAGATATCTTCCTGTTTTTTGCATCAAATCAAAGGTTATTATGTGTACTTTCATATGAAAGAAACAGAAACAGTTTTGTCTCTTAAATCTCTTTAACATGGTATGTAGATTAAGAGTGGGGTCAATTTTCATGTGTCCCAAAAAAGGATGACTTTGAAAATAAGCGATGATATTTCAACAAGGAATTGTCCGAAGAGCACGTGTCATGTATCATTTTGACCGTCTTATTCAACACATTTTAAAAAAAGAATATAAGAAGAGGATAACAAAATTTCAAACTGCACTAGAAAAGGAGAAAAGAACAAATTGAAGTAAAAATCAAGGACGAAAAAAATATTTGATTGAAAATCACTTAAGAGGCCTACTAGATCGTAGATGCTATTACAAGTAATTTTCATTGTGACCAGACAGTTGTGTGAACATAAAACTAGTAGTGATGAACAGTTTGAGGAAAAAGGGAAAGAATTTTCTAAAGATAAATCAACTACGAGTGCCGAAGACTAAATGATAATACAGAGACTTGGGCCTACGAAACTTGAGAAAAAGCTAGCATATAAAATCAAAGACTAAAACTAAGAATGTAAGACTTTAGTACGAGCTAACTGCACAATATACATGATACATAATACATAATATGTGCAACTGTAGGCCAAAAGAATCCAAAAAATGTTTAATTGTCTCTAGAAAATCTAGAATCTAGATCTATAATAAAAATAATCTTCTCAAAGTCAAAATCACTGTGCTCAGACCTTGGCAAAAGAAAACAAGTGTTAAACATAATATCTGTGAACAGATATACCATGGGTACGCTCCAATGATCTGTTCAGTAAAAATAGAAAATATTAAATAGAAAAAAAACACCAAACAACTAGGACTAGGATTACTAGGAAGGCGAAAAGTGCGATGCGGCAAAGACCCAGAACTAAAGGTGGGCAAAATCCGGATAACCAGATAATTCTCAATGAAACATCCGAATTCAGACTCTTTCCTGACCCGTTTGCCGAAGTGGGTGCACACATTAATGTTGAAGTGATGCTAACCCATTTGTCGAAGTGGTTCTGACCCATTTGCTGAAGCGGTTCATAACATTTGGCTTTGCCGAAGAGGTGCACTAACATGTTATCCGGATTATGCTAAAGCGACTGATTGCCCTGCTCCGGCACGGCCGATGCTGCCTATAGAAAAACAACTTTCGCTATCAATGACTTGTCAAGTGCTCTGGCTCTAGTCACCGTTAGACAGGGCTAAATACAGCCATTCTAGGCTTATTTTATAGATAAAGAATATTTCTAACTGCCAGAAAAGTTACAAAACTGCCTGGCAAGTGGGGAAAAAGATATCAAACGTTGAAATTTGGCTTGAATTTAAATAAAAAATATCTCTGACTCTACTAGTCGGATCTGCAAAAGGAAGACACCATTTTGTAGATGATTTAAAAGTCTCCAAAAACTTGTATCGGAAGTAGTGGTTTATTACTATTTAACTAAACAAATTCGCGATTTTCTGAGGTCACCAAATCGCCGACGCAATCCGCCACTCACAGTTTTCTACTGGCGGCGAGGAGCCGATTTTGCCGTGAGCCGATCTCGTTCACTGAACTGCCTAATTTATATAGCGCATATATATTTAGGCCCATAATATATACTGTCGAACCTGTGTAAGATGGCCACCCATTGTCAAGGAGAAGAGTGGCCTTATAAGACAGGTGGCCGTCTTAGGCAGGACTGATCAAGATGAAGAAAACAAAACATTATCTTCTTTTTTAGGTCCCAACCGAAGGTAGATGCCTTGTTGTTGTAGTTTTAGTTGCGGTTTTTTGTTGTTTTTTTGGTTTCTGATTTTGTGCAACAGTGACAATAAAGCGAAATGT